AGAGAAAAAGAGAAAGAGCTAGAGGGAGAGAGAGAGAGATAGAGAGAGAAAGAGTCGAGGCAGCGCGCAAAAAGGGAGCGGAGACGGGGCTCGCGTGGAATGTATCGGGGCCCCATAGGGCACACGATGCGTGGACCGCACGGGATAATGCCGGGCCCCATTGAATAGATCAATTTACAATGGCAGAAAATGAGCACCGCTCCACCGGCTCCGGCAGTGCCACCCCTTCTCGCCCCTCTACCGGACACGGTTCGCCGCTTCTCACGATTCGACGGCGGCGGTGGTCGTGCCGCGAATAGGGCCACGCATGCGTCGTGGCCAAGGTAGCGCATGCGTGCCGCCGAAAATGAAACGCGGAGTAAAGCGACCGGATCGCGCACGCCGCGGCCCTTTTGTCGCGATCACGGCCCTACGGAGCGCCCGGTATCCACGGGGTGCGAAAGGGTTCCGATCAGGAGACACGCATGGGGAATCACCGCGAGATCCACACCTGTTCTACTTTTCGAATCGCGTTAGCACCGAATGATCTAGCTGCTTTGTTTTCACACTAGACTGTAGCACGAGATTCGATAAAATTCTGATTTTGATAGTAGGTTACACGGAGGATTTGTATCGAGCAGACGCTCGTTAAAGATTTGCATGGTTTCTTGGATTATGGAAGACGGATTGCTCGAGTGAATGGATAAAACGATCTGAAACATTGGAATTTTCTTGACTCGCTCGTAATGTATTCCGACAACCATTAAGGAACCGGCGTACAAACGCAAGTTCGTTCCATTCAATTGAGCGCGCGCGGAATAAGGCGAGGAGAGGATTTCAATAATCTCCGATGTAATCCCGGCGCGCGCGAGCCCGCGACGACAACCCGCGAATCGGACACAAAGGACGATAAAACGCCGTTAATTCCGCGGCGTCCCCTACATCAAGATTCGCCGCGCCACGGGGGTAGAGTGCCCCTCGACAATTTGTTTAGCCGGCCGGAGGGTCGCGACTTAATCGGAGAATTAACGCTCGCGCGCGCCTCACGGCTGCGACTCGGATGAGGATCCCCGCGCCGCGGACGATCCGCGGGAACGATATTCGCCTCGTTCGTCGGGTGCGCGACTCGTTAGCGGCCACGGAAATTAATCGCGTCGATAATGCGGGTGATATACGGGGTCCGCGCGAAGGAAAAAGGCAGCTGGCAAAGGGAACGACAACGCTCTGTCTGCCATCGCGATTTACTACGCGCGGTTACGTAGCGATACGCAGCCTAGAGAAATCGTCGGGGCTACGAGCCTTCGGTTATCCTTCTTTATCCTCTCACCCTCCCCACCTCTCGACCGTCGTCACGCCGTTCACAGTGTGTACCTGGTAATCCTATGCGCCTTATTAAGATGCAAATGTCATGTCAATTTCGCAATTCTAACGGACTCTCCGTGAACGGCTCGCGGAGTTGTCTCGCGGCATAATGTCGACATGCCGCGCAGATAAATAATAGAACGTGCAGGCGGCGTAACGAGAATGATCGCCGCGGCGCGGCGGCGCGCTGTATCGAAAGTCACGGGGGCCAATTTCCAGCTGGAGGAATCCGTCTGTCTGTCTGTCTGTCTGTCTGTCTGTCTTTCTTTCTTTCTTTCTTTCATTCGCGGCGTTCCCGCTGGAATCCATCAAACGCGCGACGAGCGCTCGAATTAAACCGCGGTCCACCAACCTCACGCACGTTATCGTAGATACCTCGCGCCGAGGCTTAACTCTTATCGTTATCTTGGCATACCGGTACTGGGAGCAGTTGCTACTGTGTTACCGATGCTCTATATTTAGACGTTACGATCCGGACGCTCTCGGTTTTCCAACCTGGTTTCGAGGAAAGAAACGGCTGGCAGGATGACAGGAGGCCCAGAACAGGTTATCGCTCGACGCTCGTCATGCTTCCCGGACTTCTGCTCGCGAGATACTTCGGCGAACTTTTGGAAATTTCGGTTCACGCTTTTTCGAGCCGCCTCGCGACCGTGATGTCCGTTCGACGCGCATCGTTGGATTTTAGAGACTGCCCGACGCGTTCGTTTCAAACTGACAAGACTCGAGTGGAGTGGACAACTGTTCTGAGTTACGAGTCTCGTGCCTCTTCTTTTGAACAGCTGAGTAGCGTCGAATGCGTGCCGAAGAATCAACGAACCAGTTTTCGCAGTTTCGAAACAACGAGTTCACCTGTCGGAGCACAGCCGGTCTAACTTCGAAAATTCGATCACTTCGACCTCTAATTATCTTTACCTTTATCGGCAAGCTTCATTGGACCCTGCTCGACGTCCGGCTATTCCACTCGAGGCGATACATCGACGTTCAGTGTCGCCGCGACGAGAAGTTCAAGAAGAACAACTTCTCGAGGGCAGCTCCGATTTTTCACGAGCGCCGGAGAGCGAATCGTGCTCCCCAGAAGCGAATAGACTCGGCAATAAGAATCGAGCAACTAGACGTCCGAAAAGGGGAGGCCACGATGCCGCGGTACAATTTTATGCGAAGATAACCGGGGGAACCGGGCTGGCCGACTATCTACCCTCGCGATACCCGCGTACGCAGATATCCCTCAATCTAAATGTGCTGCATTCATTAGCATTCGACTAAGTCGCGCAAAGAGCCACCAAGGCAACATTTTTATCGTCCGTTCTGTCGGCTCCGGCTTCGTTTCTGACGCCGTTGGTGCACGCCGGATATTCCTCGGGCGGCGTTGTTCCGCGATCACGTGGAAACCAGCCCGTGGCAACGATACGCCGCGCTGCGCCACGTCGCGCCTCGCGCGTTGGGAATCGATCATTTCTTTCGAGCGACGAGTCGATCCGGTTCCTGGAAGGTACGGGGAAACACGGTCGCACCGAGAGAAGAGGGTATATATACCTGAACGTGCTCCCGAAACGATCTAGGGTTCCTGCTAGGGGAGGGCAGAACGGCGAAACGGTGCGTTTTTAAAAGGGCCCCGAATCGTTTCGCGGCGCATGGCCCGCGTATAGGTTCTCCGGTTACCTACGCGTGTCCTTGGGAGAGGACTCGCCTCAGGTGAGTCGCCGGAGTGAGAAGTGAGAAGAAAAAGAAAAGGACGGCCGAGAGAAGAAAGGGGACTACTCCCGACGCAACCGTGGACTCTTCTTCCGGCTCTGCGCTCCGAAACGATCGCTGTGTACCGATCGGGATTCTACGCGAGCGAATATCACGGTGTTCGTCGTTGGATACAGGTGGACGCGAGAGGAACTCGCGGCGACTGGTTCCGAGGAGGAATTATTGGAGCGGCTGGACACCTTTGGAATTACTCGAAATCGCTTCATACCGATCGTTACTATTGTTCCTTGCGATCAATTATGTTACTTGCTTTGTGCTCTGATTTATGTTTAATAGCAACTTTGTTATCGAGTCTCTGAGGTGTCTGTACGCAGTGTTACTTTAACAGTCTACGGAACTAGAGTCGTAAATTACACGCTGACATCAGAAAAATGGGATACAAAGCGTAATGCACGGTTTAAGTGTTCCAACGTAGAAAATAAGGTGCAGACGTTTTGATAACATCGTTTTTACTCCGTTGTGAATAGGTGCGATTTCGACCTTTGTATTCTACTTTATTCTTAACTGATTTCTAGCTCTCTTAATCGTTCGTCTAGAGATTCCTGTGTGAAATCGTAATATCCGCAGGAACGCGAGTGAGGTCGTAATTATCTTGACCAAGTTAGCAGATCGAACAACCATTGTGTTCCAAACTTGATCCGGGATCATCGACGCTGCGGAATGAAGCGGAACTGTGTCGCGATGCTTACCTGTTTGGAGAAGACAGCGATGTCCTCGTTGAAGCTCTCGGACGAGCAGACGTCGCCGCCCGCGACGCCGGGTTCGCGCGGCGTACACGTCGCGAGCTCGCACTTCTCGAAGATTAGCGCGAGAAGCGGGAACAGGGGATGTCTGGAACAGAAAGAAAAGCCGGATATAAAGAGATCGTATCCTTTCCGTATATCCTGTAGATCCTAAAAGCGGTAATGACAGTAATACATAGGGGTCCCGGATAATTTAATGGAACAGCCACTTACAAAGTACGTATAAACAAGCGCAGCGCTTCCGCGAGCGCGTTAATTAGCTCCGGCGTAAAGTCCTTCGGAGGCGGAGGCTTCATTTTCGAGCGATCCATCCTCGCGGCGCGTCTTGCGTAATAAATTAGTCCGGCTATCGAGCGACGATATCACTGATTAAAACGCAATCAGAGACGGAACACGCGGGGAACCGACCGCCGGGAAACGGCGGGAGACATCGCGGACGGGACACGCGTGTTCGAGGAAGAAACGTGTCCTCCCGCGGGGAGGGAAATAAATTGCTCGGCGTTATCCCCTTCGAGCAGCATTCTGTGGATTCTGAGGCTTTAATTGCACGCCGATTAGAAGATACGCGAGATCCTCGGGATACCTCGCGTGAGAAAATAAAGAGATACATCTGCGCGATTCGTGTGTACAGGGTGTACCACCGCGTGTTCTTCGAAATATTTTAAGGGCTCCGCTGTGTCCGATGCTCCGACGTTTCGCAGCGGTGTCTTCTAATTGGAGAACGATGGATATCGGAATGGAGAGTGGTTTACTCGAATATTGGCCAAGGTTAGATACTGCACTGTCGGAAAAATTGTTCGTTCGACGATCAGCGAAGTTACTCGACCCTTGCGACTGGCGAGAAACGATATGGGACTAACGTGAATTCGTAACCTTACGAGTTACGAACCTTTCCTAAGGATGGGAACTGCTTTTTCTTGCGATCGTAATAATTATGAAATAATAAGGATACAAGGAGCACTGTTTATGCTAATGAACTGTGGTATAAGGATACCATGGATAATGATAGTTTGAATGAACGAGATTCATCGCGTTTTAACAACGCAGTTATTAGATCTGACCCTGACAACTGGTTTCTAACTAATCAATGAATAAGATCATCACCCAG